GTTATTCAAATTTTGACCTCGCTTCCGCATTTGATATTTTTGAATTTAAAATTCCATTTTAAATTTCCGGGGCTGTTACATTGACCCCTCTTTGGATCCCTAGAGTATTTATGAGTGCTTATTTTGTTCACACTCTAATAAACAATATTGTTGTAATTAAGTAACTTTTGTGTATATATTTATTGATGACCTTTTGTGTCTTAGCTGTATTAACACTCATCTTATATTTTGGTTGTAAGGGATTTCTAGTTTCCATTATATATATTTTATATTGCATTCGTATCTATTTTTGTTATCAGGCATCCTTATACCACCCACCAGGTATCTGGGATGTTACAATCATAGTCAGCATAGTAGGTCTATCATAGAGATCCTTAGGAAGGAACAATTGTATTCCAATGCAAAAAATTGTGCCTTTTGTAGTGAAAAGCTCATATTCTTAGGGTTTGTTGTAAGTGCATAGAGCATTGAGGTGGATGAAGATAAGGTAAAAACAATTAGAGAATGACTTGCCCCTACATCAGCTACTGAGGTAAGAAGTTTTCATGGGTTGGCAAGTTTCTATCGTAGATTTGTCAAAGATTTCAGTTCTATTATAGCTCTTTTAAATAAATTGATTAACAAGAATGTTAAGTTTGCATGGACTAAAATACAAGAGAATGCTTTTGCTTTATTAAAGGAAAAATTATGTTCTACACCTAGTCTTACACTACCTAGTTTTAACAAAAATTTTGAATTTGAATGTGATGCCTCAAGAATAGGTATAGGAGCAGTTTTGATCCAGGAAGGGCGCCCCATTGCTTACTTCAGTGAGAAACTCAGCGGAGCGCCCTTAAATTACTCAACCTATGATAAGGAGTTATACGCCTTGGTGCGAGCCTTAGAGGTATTACAACATTATGTACTGTCGAATGAGTTCATGATCCACATCGATCATGAATCGTGGAAGCATATGAAAAGTCAAGGTAAACTCAACCATCGACACGGTAAATAGGTCGAGTTTATCAAATCATCCCCTATGTCATAAGGTATAAACAAAGTGAGGATAACATTGTAGCTGATGCATTATCTCGAAGGTACACTTTGATTTTTATGCTTAACTCTAAGTTTTTAGGATTTGTACATATTAAAGAGATGTATACTGACGATTTTAATTTTGTCCATGTTTATAGTGCATGTGAGCATTATACATTCCAGAAGTTTTATAAGCGTGATGGTTTCTCCTTAAGGATGGTAAATTTTGCATGCCTAACTATTCACTTAGGGAATTGCTAGTACATGAGGCACATAGTGGGGGAGTCTTGGGTCACTTTGGGGTAACAAAAACTCTAGACATATTACATGAGCACTTTGTTGGCCTAACATGAGAAATGATGTAGAACGTATATGTGGTAAATGCATTGCATGTAGATAGGAAAAATCTAGGGTATTACCTCATGGGTTATACACACCTTTACTTGTTCCTACGACTCCTTAGATAGATATTTCCATGGATTTAGTTTTGGGATTGTTTAGGAGTATGAAGCATACATGAAATTCTTAAGCCATTTTTGGCGAGAATTATGGAGTAAATTAGGGACCAAATTACTATTTTCTATAACATGCCACCTCCAGATAGATGGCCAAACTAAGATGGTCAATAGAGCCTTAGGATCTTTATTACGGGTTGTAGTTGGTCAAGATCTGAAAAACTCAGGAAGATTCTTTACCTATAGTTGAGTTTGCATATAATCGTAGTATTCATACTTCCATAGAATTTTCACATTTGGAGATAGTTTATGATTTTAATTCGTTAACTCCGTCTAATCTAACACATTTGTCTTTATAAGAAATCACTAATACAAATGGACAATGGAGAGCTGAGATGATTAAAGCCATACATGAGAAGGCCAAACAACTCATCCAAAAAGTATAATGAATCTTATGCACACAACGTCAATAAAGGAAGGAAACAAGTAGTGTTCCAACCAAGTGTTGGGTTTGGATTCATATGTTAAAGGAAAAACTTCCTAAACAAAGGAAATCTAAGTTGGATCTAAGAAGTGATGGGTTGTTTCAAGTCTTAGAGCATGTTAATGACAACACTTACGAGATTGATCTCCTAGGTGAGTATGATGTGTCTGCTGTTTTTAATATTTCTAATCTTTTACCTTTTGATTTAAGTAAAGATTCAATGACGAATCATTTCGAATAGGGGGGGAGGGGGATGATGTGAACCAAGACACACAAGCTCATTTCTCGAACACTTGCAAGTAAGCCCACGGGATCGCTACTTGTATGCACGAAGCCGCACGGGAAAAAAATGTTGCACACGCGGTGCAAACGCACACAACACAAGAGTCGTGCTGGCATACGCAAGCACGTGAAGACCTCACTGTACATGTTTGAAAGTAATGCAGAAGAGGATTTCTAAACCATTAGGAACCTATTAGTCCATAGGAATGAAGAATCCTTGTCCTTTTCGAATTCTCGCGAGCATGGATCCAAATTAATCATGGAGATCGCCCCAATAAGCCTTCTTGCATTGGCCCATATCCAAAAATAGTCAAATATTTATCAAGAAGATGGACTTGGAAATCTTACAAGAATAATTCAAATGTCTTTAGGCCCAATAACAAAAAATCAAGCCAAGAAGGTTCAATAAGCCTTTAATATTTTAATCCAATATTGGATTAATGAATAAGTCACTTCTGAGGCCTAAAAAAGTTTAAGAAAAGGTCCAAAAGCCTAAGAGAAGGCTCGATCATGTATGAACCCAATTGTCCACACATGTGGCCAAGAAGAATGAGGAAGGGAGAGTCCTACCCATGCAAGAACTCTTCCGCCATGAAGAGTCCAACTCCTCACCCACTTTTCTTTTTACATTTCTTGAAGAATTCAATTCCAAGTAAAGAAGAAATTTTATCTTTTGGAAATTGGTTTGTTTGAGACCAATTCGAGCTGAAGTCTTAAGCTTTATTTGGCCCTGCTAATGATTTTATTACGAGTTTTAACATTGTTAAAATATTTTTTTAAGATGAAAAATAATATAATCTTTGCTAAAACATATTATAATTATGTTATAAAATTAATAATAATAAAAAGTTAATGATTATAAGTATTTTCAAATAATAATATTTTTAAAAGTTATTTGGATAATTTAAATTATTCAAAAATATTAGGTTTATTTTGATTCTTCATTTATTTTATTCAATATAAATATTAATTGTAAATAGCAGTATGTAATTTTCTGATAAATAATTTATAATAATATAAAATTACTTATAACAAATTAATGTGATTTTGAGACTTAAATTTTTTTTAAGTTGTATAGTCGTAGTTTATTGAGAAGAAATTCTAATTAGTTGTCATAGACACATTAGTACATAAACTCTAATTATGTTATTATATTAATAAATTAAATTTTAATTACATATATATATATATATATATATACACCAATAAAATAAAATAAAATTTTAACTCTTATCCATAAGTTATTTTTAATTCTTAACATATCCTAAGAATAAAAAATTTAATTTTTAATAAATTTCAAATTCCTAATCTTCAATCATATCACAAACATTTTGAGCATCGTACCAGGGTGTAGAAATTGTTATATATATATAAATATATAAATATAATATATGAAAGAGATCAAAAGAGGTGGTGTCAGACGAAGATAATTTGAGTGATGATGCAATGACGACAAGGGAGAAGGTTTTCTCAAAGAAGCTCAGCAATTGAATCCAGATTTGGAAAACAGCTGTCCCACGTGATCCAACTGTTCTCACACACTCAGTAATAATCCTCCCCTTTTTCAATTCAACTCACACCAACAATATGTCTATTATATATAGTCAAATAATAATATAATTAAAATTATTTTTCTTTTGTATTTAAATTACTTTACTCCTATTTTAAATTCCTTTTAAGTTTGAGATATTTTTTTAACGTAATATTTAATATTGAATTCTCACTCTTAAAAAACTGAAGATATTAAGATTATCATGTTTGGAAAAAATAAATATATTTATTTTAAAAAAATCCATGTTAAACATAAAAATTTTTTAACTGAAATTAAAACAATCATATTCTAAATGATTTTCCATACTTTTTGTTACTTTCGCTAATTTATAATTCACTTCAAGTATTACTTAAAGAGTTCAATTAAGGTGTAATAAAAAATTCAACTACAAGATAATAGAAAATTGAAATAATGCATTCAAACATATTTTTTTAATTGTTTATATTTCTAATGTTTATATATGCAGGCTTGTTTATGAAAAACGTGCAAAAATTGTGAATTTGTGGAATAATTAATAAAATAATAATTTTTTAAAAAAATGCAAAAATTATGTTTAAAATTTTTAAATTTCACCATTATTTTTATTATGATTTTCTTAATTTTGAACCCACTTATATATTTTTGCAAATAAAATACTTACAAATTTAAAAGCTAAAAACTTCCAAAGATTTTCTCTGACAAAGCAAGTGTTTAATCTTTAATCTTCTTCATAATTATTCTTCTCATAAAGGAGTTTTTTTAGCATACATAATGATACCAGATAGATGAAGTTTTTAATTATATTAACTAAATTATAAATTTTTTTTTATATAAAAACAAAAATTTAAATTATACAAATCACTTTTATGAATTCTACCAACTCGTCAGTGCTTTTGAATTATATCTATGATGATAAATGGATGAATAATTTAGATAGTGATGATGCAGTTTGTCTCATTTGGCACCCACAATATGAACCTTTTTCATCTAAAGAAAGGAAAAAGGTATGAAGATAAATAGCATGTTATGAGCATATACCATCCACAGCTTTTTACACAACTTACAGATCTACTCTTGAATTTGCCTGGTCCCTATTACCTCTGTTTACTCTTTACATATCATTGCAGCGCATACACAATAAATCTGGATCGTACAAAGACTTTCATTCCTACCCAACAAACTTTTCTTTTTTTTTTTTTTTTTGGGCAAATAAAGATTCATAACAGGTCTTTAATGAGGAAAAAGAAATTGCAGTAGGTGTATCTTTATTCACTTTGCTGAAATTGCTAACCTGTGATACAAACAATCCAAGCAATTTCCTATACAGACACATTTCCCTCCGCTTGATTCATAAAAGGGATGGTGGAACCACAAGAAACAAAAAGGGATCCATATATTTACATGTTCCAAAAATGATACTACTCTATAATTAAGAGAGCTCACAACCAAAAAAAAGTCCCCAGCCCTGTTACGTTTTTAACTTAACCACAAAATTGTTACTACCGTGGTATTTCCTTTCTATTTGATAGCATAAGATCGGGTACATACCGTTTCAAGTGCCTCCATAAACAAGGCAGAGAAGCTGGTCAATGCCTGAAAAACCCCAGGCAAGCCCGTCTGCAGGTTATTTAGAGTCATTGCTCGTGTCACCTCTACTGCCTTGGAATGCCTCAGCATCTCATCCTCTACTCGCCTTTGACAGGCTGCAAGCTCTGATTTTTTCTCGGATAGTGGGTCCCGAGCATCCAAAACTTGTCCATTATCTGGCCCAGCATCAGGAAGACCAATACCAACCATGGAGTATGAGTGGTAGTACTTCCTCTCTATGTTCCTAAGTGATGAAGCCTTTCTTTCAAGTTCCTTTGATGCAGTTTCAGTCCGCTTTTTGATCTTCAGCTCTTCAGTTTGTTTAACAGTTATCACATGGATCACATTGATAAAGCTCTTGATAGCTTCAGAAGCAACAGTATCAGGGACCCTGTCAAGGGCAAGCTTCCACTCATCACAAAAGGCATATATATCAGATGGTTCCCTTTCGCCATTAATGTTGTCATTGCTGACAGGAAGAAGGGTAAGCCTGAACCAGCCATGAAGAGAACGAATGAAGTCCCGTTGGAATTTTATTAAGCGGCAGAAACTAGAGTGCCATGCAGAGACAGCTGACTCAAGGTCACGTGTTGCCTGCCGATGCAGTTCAGAAGTTGAATCACCCCTGCCTGATCTATTCACAAGCCCCCGGACTTGCTGCACAATGTGATTCTGAATTTCATGGTATTGATGCATGGATCTCCACATGTACATGAAGCTGCACTCGAAGACAGATACATAAAATATGTAAGTTTTGTTTCACATGATTCATTTCATCAGCTGAATGGTGTCACTAATCCGGGAGCATCTATCTGCTCATCGAAAAGGTCACATGACAACAAGACTATCTAAAACAAGCTATCTGACAATTTGTGCATCTTGGAAGGTCTTAAACATACATCCACAAACTTGTCAAATCAAGAGCAACAAACATGGCCATCTACAGATGCCAGACCATGTATTATAGGGAAGTTACACTCAAACCTAAATTGGCAATTTACATCTGCAGATGGCCATGCTTGTTACTCATGAGAACCTCATGTAAGATTAAACAATGCAATTCTAATAGTGTAAGACTAAGCAACCTTATTACAAATTACAGCAACCCAAATCTGCATTTGTAAAATGTAATACAAGAACCTCATGTAATATTAACTAAGCAATTGTAATTCTTATTTCTCAATCATTTAAACGGGGAGGCCTCTGATAAGATATTGCTCAAAGTCCCCGAGTTGCAGTGTCTGATATGTATATACTTTAAGAAAAACATTAACAAGTGATAGTTTGATGACCATCACTGATCTGATACGTAGCAAGTAGTTTGTCTAACAGAACCAAGGGAAGACAAGTAGTTTGACGTACATCCACCTTAATTTCCAGAACTCGCATGGGAAACATAAATCATTGCAATGTGAAATCACTTACTGATTTTGTTTAAGAAGGAGAAAGAAATGACATATTTAAGATGATTTGGGCTCCAAAAAATAGTTTACAAATCTAGCAATGAAGAATTTGAAGATCAGTGAATACGAGTACTTATTAAAGTCTAAATCATCGAAAATATAATTTATATGGAGTTCAATTTCATCTTCACCCATTAGTTATAAGTAAAAGCTTCTCAGCCTTAATGGAAGAGAGACAATTGGTAGATACCTAATGCTTTCACCACATTTTGAAATCAGCATGGAGGGCGATCACCATAGAGTTACAGCGTGCAGTGCAGTATAGATAAATCATCAAGTTAAGAGAAAAGGACTCACCCATGACAGAGTTCAACAAGCTGGGGAACAAGATCAGTATCTCTAAGCCCGATAATGGCAGTAGATGTTGTAGCAACTGCTGAGATGTGACAATAATTAATGACTGCAACCTTTTTATTGAAGCCTTGGTCCTGTCCAGCTTGGTTTCATCATCCCCTTTGTATTCCTGGCTCTGCAGTGCTGACAACTTCTTTTCATGTGCAATCTTCACACCTTCCCTAGCCTAAATTTGATTCACAACTTTGTCATCCACATATGGTATAGAAGATCCCCGTTAATATCAAACAATTCCATCGAATTGAGTATGATTGTATATGTCATAGCATCTACTATACCAGAATATCAATAAACCCGATTATTGCGATTGTTCAGTATACTATTTTTTAGTTTCTAATTAGCTTCTAGAATCTATTTCTTAGTTCAAGGTCTCTCTTACTAATACTAACTGGAATCAAAGAATTAGCAGATCGGTTCCACCCAAAATAAAATTTAACATAAATGAAATGCAAGTGTACAAATTCGAAGATTCCCAGTATAGCCATGGATAAGTGCAGATGCTAACGGATTAACCCACTTCCTCTCTGGGTTTCCAATTCAATATTCATAAACATAAAAATGGTTTCCTTTATTGATGATTTTCCTGGTTTTCTAAAGAAAGAAGCTTAAAAGATTAATTATCAGTAGAGATTGATCTAGGCAAAGTGCATTTCAGTCATTAGATATAGCAGGGGCAGTTTGGTAAAATGATCCAAAACATAAAGTGGAAAAAGAGAAGGATAATTTCGGGCATTGTGGAGAATAAACGCTATCGATAATGGTGGGTGGATATCTAGTCATCTTTTTGCCTAAAAAAATTAAACCTTTTTTTTCAGAGAGAAAAAAGAAAAAAGAAAAATTGGACTTTGAAGAATTGCACCTTGACTTCTTCATAAAGCTTTTTCTCCCAAGCCAAGAGCCGGTCCAAAGTGGAACACAGGCTCTTTGGACCGCCCGGTTCGTCAAGTGCATTAGCGTCCAGCCGGTATTTCACCGCCAATGGCGGCTTCGAGGTCCAGCTAGAGCTCAGGTTGCTCAGCACACTACTCGAATGATACACCGTCTCTGCAACCAAGTAAAAAATGTAGGATTAAATCAATCAATCAAATTTTTTTGTCAATGGGATTTAATAATCATGTAGAATTCTCTGTTTGGTTCCTAGGAAAATGGAAGAAAAGAAGAAAATCATGAGCTTGATTGACTCCCTGATGACCTAAATCAAAATCTTTATATCAATCGTCTACGCATTTCTATGCTTTCTCAATTCTCCACAACCAAACATGCCCGCAAATGATGCCTGATCTTAATTACTCACTCTATTTATCCCAAAACTTCATACCTAAACCTTGCAAAAAACTAAATGACGATAGAAAACGCACTCTTCAACTGCCTGAAACTACGATCAAGTTGGGCCCTGCCGATCTCAAGCATCTCGGACACCTGATCCCCAGCTGCAGCGGCCTTCTCGAAATTCTCCTTGATGGCATCCACAATCTCCTTCAAATCTTTGTGCCTCACCACCATTTTCATATCCGAGATTTCCCCTCCTGTCCTGAAGCTCCTAGATGACGTCGTCGCATCGTCGAACTTCTCAGATTTTTCTTGTCTGAAGCCACCGTACGTTTGCTGCGGCTGCGGCTGCGGCTGCGGCTGCGGCTGCGGATGCGGATGCGGATGCGGATGCGGTTGCTTTACTGATTCCGCCCGAACGGAGGCTCCAAATTCAGAGCGAGTTTCGATCTCGGATCTGGACTCTCTGTCTTCATCTTCTTCTTCATCTGATGAAGTGGTCGTGCTGTAATGATCGTGGTCCCCCCACTCGCTACACTGCACTTCCTCTCTCTCCGTCTCCTCATCGACCGCACTGTGATGGTTGCTGCTATTGTCGTTGCGACGGAGATTATTCCCTCTCTGCGGCTTGAAGAAATCGTATTCTGATCTCTCAGTCTCCGTGTCATCATCGTCGATGTCATTAACGAAGTCCAGGAGGTGATGGCGGTCGTTAGGTGGTTTATGTTGGGGTTTTCGGTTGAAGAATTCGGACTCGGGTGGGGAAGGAGGGTAGAAATTCTCCCAGTTCCATACAGAGGAAGCCTGTGAAGGAGTGCTGGAATAAGTAGAGTTCTGGTAAGCGGTGGGGTAGTAATTGGAAGTGAAGTTGGACTCTCGCTCTTGGGGGAACAAGAGGGGCTAGATTCAGATAATATGTGAGGGAGCTTAGGTTGTGGCTTGCGGCGGCGAGAGGAGGCGGAGAGGCTGGATGCAGAGAGGATGTGAGGAAGCTTGGAGCTAGCTATGGTGGGAGAGGGAGAAGGAGAAAAAGGAGGAGGAGGAGGGTGGACTGAAGAAGGTGAAGGTGAAGGGGGCCTCGGAGCAGGAGGAGGATTGATGGGTTTGGTGGGAAGAGGTTGTGGGGGATGAAGGAAGACGGAGGGGGTCTGGTCGGAGACGGAGAGTTGTTCGCCGGAAGCGAAAACGGAGAGAGCAGAGCCGGTGAGGCGGAGTGAGCGGCAGTAGTCGGCATGTGCAGCGGCGAGATGGTGGCGGGCATAGACGGCTTCCTTCATTAAACGACGACGTTCCTTGCATCGCCTGACAGTGTCCTCGTTGTCGAGCTTCGACGCCGTACACCCCATTTAAGCTGGCTTTAAGCTCCACAGGTTACAGAAAGAAGAAAGGAGAAGTTAATTATGCAAGTGATTGCTCCATAGTTTGCTGGTTTCAGATTTGGGTGCGCCTTTTCTGAGAGAAAGAGAGATAAAGAGGGGTTACGTTAGTGCATTAACAATGGATGTTTCTTTAAAAAAGTTTCTTTAAGTTTCTCTTAATAATTAATTAATTAATTAGTTACACCAAAATCACAATTAATTATCTACTCTTTTTAATTAATTAATCAAATTAATTTGTTTAAATAATAACCAATTCATTTGCTAAGGAAATTAAAAAAAAAAAGGGACCCAAAGAGTCCACTTTGGTAGTGCTAAGATTGACTAGCGTGAACAATTTATTTAAGAAGTCAGTTTTAGTACAGTGTAATACATTTTATATTTTATAAAAAATAAAAAAAAAAACAAGTAGCAGTTGTGTTTAATTATAAAAAAAATATTAATAATTAAGTATATATGTTGGTGGATTCTAATTAAAAATTTCGGGGTTTACAGAAGGCTGCTTTTTGTTTTTTTTGGGTTTTTCCTTTTCTTCTTCGTAGGCTGTACTAATTCTAATGTAGGCGTAGAATACTCTTAAACCAGATGTGTGGGCCCATGATTCGATCATATTGAACTAGAATCTCTATTGATTTTTTCATATATATATATATATATATATATATATATAAGAAAAAAAAAAAAAAAGAAAAAGCTCTGTAAAGTTATATGTTGATATTTCGGATTATACAACCTGTTTGCGTAAATTTGTTTGCTTGGCTTATGTTATTTTGTTGTGTCCTATATGTGAATTTGTTATGCTTGGCCTATGTTATCTCATGTCTTATATGTTACTCGTTTTGCTTGGATGTTGTTACGGGAAAAGTAGAATGTCAATAATAAGTATTCAAATATTAGAAGAATTAGGAAGAAACTTTTGAAAAAAGATGGAAATGGGTTAGCCTAAAGGAAAAAAGTTCAGCCAAAAATCTATCATCAAGTAGTTAAAAGAAGTTTATGGGAGTTCAAACGTTAACTTTATTCCTAAATCAACAATACTTTAAAAATAGAAGAAGAAGAAGAAGAAGGTGGCTCATCAGCTTTGAGATGCGAGAGATGCATCAAGTCACTCCTTCTGATAGGTGTCATTGCTTTCTTTGCTTTTTGTTATCATTTATGAGAAAATACCTATGAGCACTTTTGCGAAGTATAATGTTTCTACAGGTCATTATACGAAATTACTGAAAATGTACTTTAGGAGAGTTAACTCTTCTCATCCCGACCATTCCTAAGCCTGTGAAGGAATGGAATAGAGGGATGACCTTTTCTCCTGCTATAATCCATTTTTTGTAATTATTTTGAGAGACTGGATCGAGGAGAGGTGGGTTTGGTTGAGAAAAGTGTTGATTTTTTATCAAGAGAATTTTTTAAGGAAACAAAGATTTCATTCTAACAAGGAAGAAAAGATCCACAAGCCTTTAGGATTGTGATGGAATTATGCTCTAGAGCCAAGTGATTTCAAATCCATAATTCTTTAAACAATATAGAGAGTTAGTTAAAGTGGACATAATTAGCTTTTTGGACAAATTTTCATAATGTAAAAACTATTAGAGTCTTGAATTGTTTCATTTATTTCCCTTATTTTGAAGTGTGACAAGTCCCTTAGTTTGTTGAGGAATAGGACTTAAGTGGCTTACTTTCTAAAATGAATTTTGAAAAACAAAAAAAAAAAAAAAAGAGCTGGATGGTAGTATGAAGGTTTTTAACATCAATAATGGAAAAAAAGAATGTGTTATGGGTATAAGTGGAGAAATTGGATCTTTTATTGTACCATCTCCTCCAAATCCATGTAATGTTACAACTCAATGATGTTGGCGATCTCTTTGCTCAAGCCACTTAAGAATTGGGCCATGATGGCTTCGAGATTCTCGTAGACATTGGCCTTGATCATTGTCATCTCTATCTCCTTGTGGTAGTCTTTCATGGACATGAATCCCCAGTCAAGCGTTGTAACTTCTGGTACATCTCTCTATTACAATAAGAATGTACAAACTTTTTTTTTCTCATGATGGACTTCATCTCCTTCAATGTGGAAATAGGATGGTCTCCATTATGTCGTCTGATGGTAGATAACTGATCCCACCATACTATAGCATAATCGATGAATTTGATGGCGACTAACCTTACTTTATTTTCTTCATTATAGTTGTAAAAGTCGAAGATGAGTTCTACTTTTCTTTCCCATTTAATATAGGTCTCAACATCATTCTAAACTTTAAATGGAGGTATTGTATCTTGATAGAGTTGATGTTGCCTCTTGATAGAGTTGATGTTCACCCTCTTCATTATCATCATAGGATTCAGTATTTTTTGTGTGGGGTGGCATCTAGCCTGGAGTGGATTGTGGTTCCTCCTCCTTCTTCTATCCATTCTTGCTTCTAGATTCTCGATACACAGTATGTAAACATGGTGTCCATATGTTCTCCTAAATTTATTGCTCTATTGTTTTCATTTGGTTGAAGCGAAGTGAAGTACCTGCAAGAAAAAGTTAGTATCAAAATACTCTCCCATATAGCTCACTCGTGTTTCACTCACCATACAATCTCCTAGCTATCAATCTTCTTCCCTCGAATTGAGTATCGAAATTGAGTCCTCTTGAATCAATGTATTCATGTTTGTCTTTAAGACCCTGCGAGGAACCTTAAAAGGATCTCATTTCTAGAAGTTTGGATTTAAGCACATAAATGAAGAAGATGTATAACTTTTATAATTATGCTTAGTAAGTAGAATGTAATTAGCTACTTAGATGCGTCTTGGAATAAAAACACAATTAAAAGAATGAAACGCAGAGTGCAATAAAGGCAATTATGGACATAAAGTGTAATGGATTGGGTTTACCCCTATGGACAAAACTAAAGATACAATTCCTAAAAATTTTACAACGGTTATGTTTTATGAGATGATTTAAGTTGATGTTAAATATATGTGTTTGCAATGGATGCGCTATGATCAAGATGGGAGCAAGGGGAATCACGCACTTTTTTTATGGTGGAGTAGTTGGCTTGCAATAAATATGGTGGTAGATCGACTTGATTTGATGAAGAATGAGGTGAATCAAGCTTGATGCAACAAACAAATTCAATTTTCCTTTTTAATGGGCAATCGATTTTCACACACTTTTTTTTTACCCTAATAATAAAAACGAAATCACTTGAACAGCGAGAATGATGAATTTCAAGTGTTATGCACATGAAAGATTAACACTTGATGACATTGGTGCTA